TAGGTTAGGCCATGAAATTAGTATGACAAGTTGACCATGCTGTGGACAACAAAACATTGCAACTACTACTTCTTGCAACAAGCAACAACAAGCAGAAGAACAAGAACAATAACCACTGCAGAAAACATACATAACACTGCACAATTATCAAATGTCCAACATCAATGGCTGCTAGCTGGTGCAATTTTCGGCATAGGCGGCGTATGCGTAATGCAGCAACACGCATACGCAACGTTGATCACAACACAGCCAGACACAAACACGCAACAAAAATTAACAAAAAAAAAAAAGCAACAAAAAAAAGGGAAAGAAAATGCTGCAAATGTGTGGAAATGTGTGGAAATTCATATGCATCTCTGGCACTGTCACTTCGGGCAGTTGTCAGAAAGTCACTTAAAAAGTACTTTTGTATTTTTTTGTTTTCAATCCTATGGGAATCAACTTATGCATGGGAAGCTCTATTGGGGTCTATCAGTCAGAAAAACCATTTCTAAAAATGAAGTAAACATTGTCGTTTAGTAAACAAGATGCGAACAAAAGTTATATGCGCTTGAAAAGATGGTTGTACTCGAAATGTAGAAGTGTTTTTGAATAATACCTGAAATGTTAAAACTCGTATTATGTATTAGAAGTAGTCAATAATATCATTCCTTGACCTGGCAAAGAGTTGTTTTGCTGCTAAATTGTACTCATTGGAGTATTGAGTACCGCAAAATACATTTAAATGAAATCAGAAAGCTTTTCATTTAATTATTGTTGTAAGACTTTTATATAACTCAACTTAAAACTTTTGTTCAAAACTTAAACACGGTTTATTATATATGAAATTGAAGAGCCTTTTTTAAATCCAAATAAAGAAGAATTTTGTTGCACAAATTGCAGTTAATAAAAATTCGAAAACGGAGTTCAACATTGGCTCCATTAAACATGCAATGCAAATAGATTTTATTGCAGACTTGTTTTTCTCTCGTTTATTTATTTGTTAATCTAGAATTGTCCGTTCTGGAGAAGTACTACATCTGTTACTTAGCAATGCTCTATTTGCATGTGAATATTACGAGGAAAAAAAAACACAAAATATTAACACAATTGAAAAGGTTTTTTATTTGCCTGCTCGTTTTAAGTCGCCATTTTTATTTTCATTTCGTTTTTTGCTCTCTGTCTCTGTTCTTCTCTCTCTAGCTATTTTTTTTGATTCATTTGCCTGCCCCGTTAGGCCTGAGCACACACACAGAGAAGAACTCCTTTTTGCATTGCCTGATTTTCACATTGTAATCGAGAATTGTTTGCATTACATTCAACAAGGGTTGGGGGTTGGCTGAGTGTGTTTGTGGTTGTGTGTGTGTGTGTGTGTGGTTGTGTGTGTTGCACAGGCAGAATTAAAATCATTGTAAATACACTGTGGGAAATCGCTTTAATTCGTTAGTGCTGCTGTCAGCGGCTTACGCCGGCGACTTATCGATGACATTTCCATCTGCATATGAAATGATTGACATTCATTGTAATGAATGAGATGATTGGCTTCAAGGACTCTTATATTTCTCATTAATTAGCCTTAAAGATTGCACTATTGATTGTATCGATTAATGTCTATCGGACTTATTACCTATGAGCGACATTGAATTGTTTGATTACTCCCAATTATCGAGTAGATTTATAGCATACTTTTTGGGACGCTGACTTGACGAAAATATCAAAATTTTTAATTACTTAATACAACTAAAACTATTTGCCAAATATGCAATAATGAGAAAAAATATGAAAAATAACTTTGCTTGTTTATTTCATTATTTTACCAGCGCATTTTGCTTCATTAAATAGCTTTTCATCTGTACAAAATAATATTAGTTTCATAGTCTACTTTTGGTTAGAAAACTTAATTATACTAAAAAGTATAACACTGATTTTGTTGCACAACTTTTCAGATCTGCTTTTGAGCTCATTAAAAATGCTAACTTTTGCATTAGCTTAACCAAAAATTGCAGGTATTGTTGTGTGTGTGTGTACCGTAATTGCCACACCCAACAGGCAATAATTGCTTGCACACACACACACACACATAGACACACACACATAGACATTGTAACTAGTGGACTTTGTAATGACAAACTGGTGTTTTTCAGCCTGATTTTGTTGGTGTTGTAGTATGCTAAATGAGTTTGGTTATAGCTACAAATACACACACACACACACACACACATGCATATGTATGTTTTAAATGTTGTTCTTTCATTTCTCTAGTCTCTCTCTCTCTCTATCTCTCTCTTTCTATTTGGTTTTTGTACATTTTCAAAGTGCCGCCGCGTCATGCCCCATCGCCCAACGAATGGAAATGAAACTCAGTTTAACTAACGCAAAAAAAAAGGAATATTTGTACACTGCGAGAAAGTGGAATGCGAATTGCATTCATTTTATAACAAGATCAGGTCAAATTGTAGTATTTAATGTTTTAAAAAAGTTAAAAAGGCGAGTAGGAAATCAAAAACGTTTCTGATTTTCATTTAACTATTTTAAATGAATTCTTAGATGTATTTAAGCTCTCAACTTCCAATAAAAAATACTTTATTACTGACTTGAAATTATAACAATTCTATTCCAATCCAGTCTAAGCTGCTTGATTTTCAATATGGCTTTGGCCTTAAGTCACATGTACAATTTGTATAGTTAATTATACATATTTATACATCAATTAGCATAGCATTATATTTTCGCTGATTTCGCTTATTGTATAGATTTTTGATCGTTTGCAACTCTGTTCGCTCTGTTCTAGTTTTATTGCCTTCTTCGTTTTATTGCACTTCGTTATAATTACTAGCACTCAGAAACTGTCTCTTTTTGTCTTTGGCACTTTTAGGCAAACCAATAACTGTGATGAAGAAGCATCAAAAGGATATAAAAACCGTTTCCAGCAGCGACATTCCGCGTCTTCTCGCGCTTAGCTTAACTGCCTGCTGCTGCTGCTCATCTTGTTATCTGCTGCTGCTGATGCTGCTGCTGCTGCTGCTGTTCTTCAATTCGATTCGATACGTTTCGATTGAGGAGTGTGGGAGAGGGAGAGGGAGGGAGGGATAGAGCAACAGCCACTGCTGTCGACTATTTTATTATATATGCATGTACATACATATGTAGTATTTCATTTGTTTTTTTTTTTTTGCTTTTTTTTGTTTTGCTTGCGCTCGTTTTATTCTTATTTTTTCGTTTGCTTCTTTTTGCGCCTTTTTATGGGCCTGCGACTGCCTTTGTTATGTTTTTTCTTTATTTTTTTATTTTTATGAGTTTTGCGACGCTGCTGCTGAGATTTATTATTGTTTTCAGCACTCTCAGTGTGTGGTGTGGTGTGTGTGTGTGTGTGAGTGTGGGTAAGCATGAGAAGAGCTCACGTGTTTGTCTGTGTTTTTCAACATGTAGCTGTGGCTGCAGCAGCTCTTTGCAAATCCGACACTGGATTGAATTTTCGCCGCCGTCAGCGACAGCGTCAGCTTCAGCTTCGCTGTCAACGTCGTCGTCGTCGTCATCGACTCTTGTACAAAAGCTACTCGACTTTGCTGTCCCCGCGCAGCAGAGTCGCAGCTGCTACTGCTCTGCTGCTGCTCTGCTGTTGCTCTGCTGCTGCTGTTGTTATTCCCTCTCTTCTATGCGCTTCAAAGCAAGCATTTGTGTGTATTTGGCTTGGCGCAGTTTAATGCACTCTACACAGTATTTGGTTTGTTACACCCTCCTTCTCTCCCTCACCGCCTCACCACCTCTTCTATCTCATTCAAAGTTGCCTATTGTTGGCATACATGAGTATGTTTGAATGTACATATATGTACATATCTACAAACATTTGTCAATTTTGTCAGCGGCTAGTTTTCTTTTATTTTTGTTTAATCGTTTTTTTTTTTCTCAACGTAATGTAATGTACAAAATGTACCAACATAATGTACCAATGTACCAACATAATGTAAAGTATCAATATGACAACATAATGTAATGTACTACCATAATGTAATGTACCTACATACTTGTACCAATTTAGCTACATAAATATGCGTTTTGCTTACAACACTTTTGCCCTTCCTCATTTCCTCAATTAGACACGAAAGTGAAATTCTCAGCATTTTTCCCAAAAAATCTATAAATTCCTTCATTCATGCCACAAATCAAAAAGTCCATACAGCTCATAATTATTTGTCTCAGAGCAGTGCAAATTGCTTCGGAAGCATTTTTATTAGTTACTCACCCAAAATAAAGAGTTAATAATTCCAATCAGCGTTCGATTTAATCAATAGCACTCACCTGTAAATAGAAATGGAGAGAATATAAATATTTTCGTTGCCATAAATTAGTACACAACAGTGAGGGAGAGAGAGAGAGTAACTAACTATCACAACAAAAATTCTATATATTTGTACACAGAAAGAAAAATTAATTAAGTCAGTTGGACGGGCGATGATAATAGCCAACAGAAGACAGGCAGGCAGGCGGCAGGCGCGCAGCAATTTGCATTTAAAATGTAAGCCAATAAGTAGAACGAGAGCGCAAAGCGAAAAACCAAAATGACAAAGTGGAACTCAAAGAGAGACCAGTCAGCAGAGATGCACACAAACACACAATGGAGCGGTGGGAGAGGGAGAGGGAGAGTGAGTGAGAGCTACGAGCAGACGGCTAATGCAAAGCCAATAAGCAAGCAAGCAAGAACAGAGCAGAACAGCAACAGCCGAGAGTGCAAACAAAACGCAAACAACAACAACTAAGTAGTAAATGTTAAGTGTATAGCAATGGGGGACAAAACAAAAGAAGAGCAGAAGCAAAAGCAGAAGCAAAAGCAGAAGCAAAAGCAGAAGACAAAGCTGATGACACTCTGTGTGTGTGGGAGTAGGATGGGACGATTATCAGACAGAGTGTATTGCTGCTGCTTCGTTGTCAAATGAGTTTGACGCCAGTCTGTCAAGAGTTTGCTTGCAATGGTGCGTTGATTACGTATACGACGCCTGTGACGTGCGAGATTAAGTGTGATCGCTTGTAGAAAACAAACAGACGGACGGACGGATGCGGTCGGTGAGCGCGTCGTGTTATCGAACGATTAAAATAGTGAAACGAATTTGTTGCTAGAAATACAAACAAATATTGCCAGATGGCTTGCAAAAAGTACACAAAACGTTTGCTGCTTTGCTGGCGCATCCAATTTTAAGGCGCGGTTTGAGACAAACTTGGTACACATTTATACTATTTATATTTATAATTTAATTTATTATTTATATAACTATATATATATATATCTATTATTTGATATCGACTTTGGCACTTTGAACCTCGTTTGTTTTGTTTCCGAAGTGAATGGGTCACTTAGACAACAACTAATTTTTTGAAGACTGTTCGCCTAACGTGTTGTTTCCATTGCATGTTCAAATGCCAGGACACGCACGAAACATCCACCCACCCACACCCACACATACACACACAGACATTCTTTAATAAGGTTTATTGCTCCCTTCAAATAACACGAATAACATTAAAGCGACAAATTTGTATAGCTATTTTTGGAATGGTCGCTAAGGTTGAATGCCCCCAGAGAATCATCAGTCTTGGGTCAATTACGAATGCGATTGGAAGAAGCAAAAAACACTTGTATACTGTTTTATAGATATATTTGTAAATATGTATGAAGATATTTGATTTGTTTTATAAGTATTTCGTAAGGGAATTTATAACAAATGCAGTCTTAATTTCATTTCGATTTATTTTATTATATTTTGAACATTAAAAAATTAAAATGAATTATTAATATACAATTTTTAATTTTATCAAAAAAAATCGGCAGAATTCGCTAATGACTTTATCTACTTCAGCTAGGTGACTTCTTTGTCTACAATGTTCTGCCAAGAGACCGGTAAGTATTCCAACTGTTTGCAAGGATTCCCTCTTAATTACTTAAATCGTTCCTGTTTTTAGCCAACTAGAAGACCAGCTGCCTCTACTAAGTTCAATTGCCTGTTTACCTGTCTTCCTGTTTGAATGTTCATAAACAAACGATTTTGTCTAATATTATAATAATTTCATATAATATTTCAGTATTGTTGGATACTCTAATAATAAACATCTCAATAGAATATAATAAAATACAACAATTAGAATATTGTTTGTAAAAACAACAACACATCTACAGATAGAGACGCGTTTTAATCAAATAAATTCGCAGAATCGATCTAATCAGTTTCTACATGAATGAAGTGTTTACTTTTGCACACTCAATTCAATTCATTAATGCCATTATCATGCTAGGATTCTCTGATTCCTATGTCCTAACCCGGCCAGCCAACCAACCAACCAATTAGCGTAGTTTCGTTTCAGCCATTAAAATGCCCGCAAGCACCCAAAAAGCATTACCAGCCCTAAACAAGCCCCAACACCAACACCACCAGCCCCCCACCCAGGAAAAACTACGAAAGAAAATGTGCGGCTGCCGCATCGTTGTTGTTGTTTTTCTTTTTTTTTCTAAAAACTGTCATGCGTGTGGCAATTAAAGCGACAAGCGACGGCATTTCGTGCAACACGTAGCGAGGCAAGGCGACAGGAGCAATGGTCTGCTGAGCGACACTCCACTGGCCACCGCACTGGACACATGCCTCATGCCACATTCCACAACAGCTGTGTGCTGATGTCCCTGCAAAGCGACACACGCAAAAATGCGTGGCGCTTCAAGCTAAACACCATACTTACACACACACACACATACAGTTGCGAACAAAATAATAGCACCACTACGATATTTTTTCTTTCAAATGGAAAAACAATTGCAAATTTAAAATTCAAGTTAGTTCTGCTCTTGGAATTATTTTCAATATACATAAATATTTTTTTTATTTATTTGTTTACAATTGTTTTAAACATTTTATACGTTCTTCATAAAATTTAATTGTTTAATTTTCAATAAATTTAAGTAAGTTAAAATCGTTGAATAGCATTATGATTTGTTTCTTTTTCACTTTTAAAGCCACTTCTGTCACTTCTAAAAACATATTCATAAGTTGCTGAAACTTACAACTTTGAAAACATTTCTTGTTAAAGTGGTGCTATTATTTTATGCGCAACTGTACACACGCATACACACACACACACGCACCCACACACAGACACACTAAAATGCGGCTGGTCAGTCATTAAAGCGACCACAATTGTTGCCAGGCCCAACGTTAACCACAACAGCTCAACACACACACACACACACACACACACTCCGAGCTTTATGTGACAATTCTATGCTCAGTTCTGTTTTTTTTTTTAGGCCCGGTCTAACCATGTTTAAGTAATTGCCATCCATATTTTATGTATATGTAGTCTTTTGGGGCTTTTTACTCCATTACGATAGAGTTATAATCGACTAATGAATGTGATATCATACTAAGCAGAGTTATATATATATATATATATATATATATATATATAACACATTTCAAGAGTAAAGAAAAGACAATTATTTGAGCTTTAGAAATACTTTCGATTTTGCACAAATAAATTGTGCACAGAAATAACAGTTTCAATTTTCATTTGATTAAACACATATTTGAACAAACTGATTTTTTTTTTACAATCATAAATGCTGGAAGAGCAGACGTTATTCAAAAATACTACTTAACTCCCTCACTTATCCACTCTCAACGTAATCATAATAAAAAGAAACACTTTGCTCTCAAACGGTTAAGTCAAACGGGTAAACATAAATTAAAATGTATATTTGACGAAGAGAAAAAAAACAACAAACTCACACATTATGTTACTATTCGAGTTGTTGTTGCTGTGCCGGCAGAGACGGAGAGACAGACAGTGAGAGAAAGAGAGGGCATAGCTGTCAGCCAATCGAGACCCGAAATACCCCCAAAGCAAACACAAAAGAGAGCATATCACGCTCATGCTTATTTTTGTTTGTTTTTTTTTCTTCTTCTGTTGTTCATGCTCTCTTCCGACCGCTGCTCGGTTACCCACCTGCACTGAGCAGAGTCGTAACAGAGCGCGGGCGCAGCTCGCATTAATTTTCAAGGACAAATGCGCGCTCTCAATTTGATTTGCATAATTCTATGCGAGGAGAGGAATAATGATGAACCGGCAAAGACGGCGACGGCGACGGCGACGGCGATGGCAAAGAGCGCACAGCAACTAATTAATTAGGCGAATTTGTCGAAGAGGGGGAAGCGGCACGAAGTGGAGTGGGAGTATTTGATGTCAGGGGTTTTTTATTATTGTTTCACATTTTGTTTGCTTATACACCACCACCCGAACACATACATACATACATATATATTTCATTTGTTTTTCATTTTGCTTTGTGGGTGTGTTCGTGTGCGTGTGTGTGTGTGTATTTAACGTATTCGTTTCAATAGATTTGCATTGGTTTTAATTTGTTTGATTTTTGCTGCTGTCGTTTTTGTATTTTATATTTAATAACATTTGAATTCTATTTGAGATGATGCCTGACTGCATTTTAATTAGCGACAGCAATCGTCAATGTATTTTCCCCCATTTCTGTTATCTGTTGTTGTTGTTGTTGTTGTTAATAATGCATTTAATACAAATGCAGTTAACAGCGCGCCGAGAGTGTTGTTGGAGAAGGGGAGAGAGGCGGGGTGCCACAGTCACAACTGGGGTTGCATCAATGTTACCAAATGCACTTGAAATTAATGAATAATTTACTCAAAATGGGAATTGTTTTAGACGTAAAACATGTACACACACATACACACATACATACATACACATATAAATCCATTAGTATATATATACATATATATCTACGTAGATATTTGAATAGCACAGACTAATTGCCTCATTTACAAACAGCTTTCAACTTGGACTGCGCAAAAAGCCATATTAAAAGCTTAGACACCTTTTGTCTGTGACTATAAAATCAGATATTATAACTCAAATTTGGGCATTCTTTGGGTTTAACTTTAAGTTCTATATCTTAATTAATTTTATGTATATACGATTTGGAACAGCTTATAATTTATATAAACTCCAACTAGCTTTTTTTTACATTTTTTTTTTATATTGATCATAAAATTCATTTATTTAGTAAAAAAAAAGAAGGGACAACTTTTTGTACTTTCATTTGAAGAAGGGTAAGCACTTAACTTAAAATACAATTAATTAATTTTTAATAATTTATTAATTCTGAATGTTGATAGCAAATTAGAAACGAAATCCACTTTATATTTTTCATTTGTTTCTTATTTTTTGGGTTGCGTGCAGCAAAGTTATTGGCTGTTTTATATTTTAATTTAATTTAATTGTTTTATTATTCATTGAATAAAATAAATGTTGGCTATTAGCTTAAAAGGTGGCTAAGATGAAGGACTCCGGGTTTTGAAAATATACAATAGATCAATCAAAAATGATGTACTGATCTTTGGATAAATCGAATATATATCACAGATACCAAAATTTAATGTTTTTTCTGCATATAATTAACTCCGTTTCACATAGAATTGATTTGAATTTATATTTGAATTTTGAGTGTTTATTAAATTTAACATTCATTAAAGCAATCAACTGATTGATTAAAGGTCAAGCATTAAAAATTCAAATCGACGATTTAAAATATATTTCAAATAAAATGAATATTGTCAGCTACGTTCTTATCTCTTGATCAATAAATAAATTAATTCTCGTACACATTCGATATATTTTCTTTAATTATTATGGCTTAAACATAAATATGATGTAAGTTGTTTTTTTTTTTTCTTTCATTATTATTCCAATGAGATTGTTATTTATATTATTACAACTACATTTTGAATACGCTTTTTTGACGCATAAAATATTGTATTGTAATAAAATGGGAAATTTGTTGCTTGCAGCAAAGGAAATGATAAATGAATTATGACCAGAAACCAGACTAACAACAACAACTAACAAAAACAGCAATAAAAAATCATTAAATAAAAAATAACAAGCAGCAACAATGGGCCAAAGTCAAACAGCCATCGCAAAGTTAATGGAAATGCCAAAAATAAAAGTAAAAAATAGTAAGACCGCATATTGTATAAAAAATACACACACACACACAGAGTACATAAATTCAAATACTATTACAAACAACAACAACAACATAAAGCGAACGTGCAAAAAGTAAATAGCAATAAACAAAATACAACAGCACAATAAACAAACAAACATAAAAAAAAATAAATAAAACTACGCAAAGTAATCGCAATTATTTGCGTATGTACTACAAAAACAAGAAAGAGAAAGAAGGAAAAAGAAACACGCGAAAAACGGCGAACCAATTGAAAGAGAATGAGCGAAAAAAAATCCACAGTTATTAGCAGAAAATAAATGGGTTTAGTTGAGTTTTGTGGCCGGCACGCGATGTCATTAGACATAATCACAAAAGCAAATTATTCTCTCAGTCAGAAAAGTGCATAATAGTACGCGTCTAGTTATCATTTCATCTAGTCAGCATAATAAATCTTACAAGGGGATAGAAAGGGACGGAGAGATAGTCCCTCATTAGGCAGGTGTACAATTAAACAAATTTGTAAATGTAATAAGTAACTGAGCACATTCTCAGATTAATGATTGCTTAAACAATTTAAGTATATATGACACTAAGCATCTTATCATATTTGATTTTCTATACTATCTGATACGTAATATATGTAAAAAAGTGTTTTATAGACATACACTACGCGAAATTCAATTGAAGGCACTCGATTTGTTCCTTATAAAATTTAAAATAATATTAAAAAAAATGTTTTTGCTAGCTGTTTTAAATACACGCCAAATTAATAAGGAATTAAATTTGTATTTTTTTTTTAAGTGAGGTTAAGGTTAATATCTAGAAATGACATGAAAATAACATATTAATAATGTGTTCAGCCGCCAGATTTGATTATAACTAAAAATATTACATTTGACAACGATTCAACAAGTTTTTATTAGCATAATCGTATTGGAATAAATCATTTAGATCTGGTTGATGCTCCATAAAGTTCACCAAAACTTCGTTTCAGATCATG